CGCCAAATGTTTCCGTCTTCCGAACCTGGCCCAACCAAAATCAATGGGCTAATTCAAATCAAAATCCAATCTGACCTCCCCGTCGAAACCCTTTTCAACAAAATCAAGCGGGAACACAACCTCCAGCATCGGCAACCAACAATAACCGTCAATCCAATGTGGGCCGACCTGGCCACCCAACCATCGAGGACATCGCCGCGGCAATCAACAACATTCGGAAGGGCAACCGAGGCCCTAGCGACCCCAACATATTCATCGGCAAGCCATGCTCATATTGCAGTGTATCGGGACACTGGAGATCGTCCTGCCCGACGCTCCGCAGAGATGCCAATCTGCCTCCTCCCGACACATCAACGACTAGTCGCCCCGCTTCCGGTTTCGCCCGCCAGACAGCACCCCCGAACGACCCAGCCATTGGCACGAATTCTAATGCGGCAGTTAGATCGACGGTGGCCGCGGATGCGACGGGTGCTGGAGGCGCAGGCACGGTTTTGGATTCTGGGGCGACCCACCACGTGAGCGGATCTTTCCATCTTTTTTCTAACCTTTCTTGTCTCCGTCCACCACTCAAGCTCAACTTCGCTTCCTCTGATGGCTCCATGACCGCAACTCACAGTGGTCACCTGAAGATAACCAATGGGGTTGGTTCCCTAATGATCCCGCGGTTCCTGTACAGCCCGGAAATGACGGGAACAATTCTTAGTCTAGGACAACTAATTGACTCAGGCTTCAAACCTTCTTGCCTCCCGAACAATGACATTCTCTTAACGTCCTCTTTCATTTCTGTTGTTGCTAAATATATTAATCGTTCCTGGCTCATCTTTCCCGCGTCTTGGCACCACATATCCAACTCCATCAAATCGGCTTCTGCTACTTCTCCGCCTCAACTCTCTTCCCCTTCCTACAACTGGCATTGCCGTCTGGGGCACGTCTCCGACTCTGTCGTAAAGGATTTCCTCAAGCGTTTTGTTCCAAACTTCAACATCAAACAATGGACTCCTTTCATCTGTGAATCGTGCAAGTCTTCCAAGAGCGAACGCCGCCGCCATTCACTTCCTGAAGTCATTCCCAAGGACAAACGCCTCGACCTCTTGGTGACAGACGTACTTGGACCATTGGACCCCGACATCAAAGGCAATCGCTTTCTACTTACCATCCGAGATCATGCCACTACATATTCTTTTGTATTCCCTATGAAATCACGATCCGAGGTCCCTGGAATTATCATTTCGCTCGTAAAACGCATCACTTCTCATTTCCAATGTTCACCGAAATTCATCCGATGTGACAACGCGAAGGAATATACCGTGAAGACCTTACACGACTACCTGGCGTCTGTTGGCTGCAAGATCATCTTCACCTCTCCTTATACTCCCGAGCAAAACGGCGAAGCCAAACGACTCAACCGGACTCTTGGCGACATTGCCCAAACTACGCTCACTCATTCTCACCTGCCGTCGTCCCTATGGTCTTACGCTTATAAATGCGCTTGCTTCCTGACGAACCGCTTATCTAATACCCGATGCAATACCACCCCTCTAGAATTGTGGTCTAACCGTGAACCGAATGTTGCCTCATTTTATCCATTTGGTTCAAGGGCAACTGTCCACATCCCAAAGGAACGGCGTCAAAAGCTGGACCAGCGGGGATGGACTGGGTACCTTGTTGACTATCAAGACGACAAACGCGGTTGGTTCTTCTATGATCCAGAGACCAAAAAGATCATCAACTCAGAGTGTGCAGATTTTTTAGACTTCCAAAACAAACCACTGATCCCCACTCCCAAAAAATTTCCTGAAACACATTGCGTTCGTAGAATACTTCATCTCGGCAAGGAACCAACTAAAGAAATTTGTGAAGATCAGGACATTCAAATTGACAACATCCAGGCCATATCCGATGCGGAAATTCCGACAACTCTCAAAAACGCCTTGTCGTCACCCAACGCAGCTCAATGGAAGTCAGCATGCATGACTGAATGGAAACAACTTGAAGACATCGACACTTTCGAAATTGAAGATAAAGCATCAAAACATTCCATCGGCACCCGCTTCGTTTTCGACATCAAAAGGAAGGTCGACGGCTCAGTCGACAAACTCAAGGCCCGTTTCGTCGTGCGAGGTTTTAAACAACGCCTCGGAATCGACGTTCGCTCCACATTTGCTCCCACTGCTTCTCTTACTACACTCCGAATGTTACTCACTCTCTCCGTAAAAAATAAATGGACAATCAATTCCTTCGACATCACTGGCGCATTTGTACACAGTCCTATCGATGAAACAATATATGTTGATCCTCCGATTGAACTTTTCCCTCACATGGCTGGGAAGGTGCTCAAGCTGAAGAAGGCCTTGTATGGGAAAAAGCAGGCAAGCCGGTGCTGGTGGAAACATTTCAAGACCCTTTTGCACGGCTGGGGTTTTGATTGTGACGAGGTCGAAGAATGCTTATACCGCTACCGCAAAGGCGAGTCAGTCATCATAATATGGATTCATGTGGATGATGGGATCGTCTTCAGCAACGACATGGCAGCTCGGGACCAACTACGTGAAAATCTTGAGGCAAGCTTACGGGTTAAATGGGACGCAAAGCCTGAAAAACTAGTGGGGCTGAAATTGGAATACTCCGACGACGCAATCTTCCTCAGTCAACAACTTCTCACTGACCAGACCATCAAGAAATTCCAAGACCAAGTTCAACAACACATAATTCCGACCCACACACCATTACTGGGTGACACTAGTGACAAACTGGGGTGACCCCGTATCTCCGACCCTTTATCAATCGTTCATTGGATCATTGAATTACTTAGCACTCGGCACCCGCCCGGATATCAGCTATGCGGTCAACTATTTGGCGTGTTTCAGTTCAAATCCAAATGAGACGCATTGGGCAGCGTTGTCTCATCTCATCCAGTATCTCGCAACCCACAAGGAAAAACGCTTGAAGCTAGAGGCCAAGGAGGATTCATTAGTAACGTGGTCCGACGCCAATTGGGGAGGTGAATTCCAACGATCAACATCCGGTTTCATCATCACTTTTATGGGGAGTCCAGTTGCATGGGGCTCCAGGCGCCAAAAGGTTGTGGCGACATCGACCTGTGCGGCAGAATTTATTTCTTTAGGATCCTCCGTTGATTTTCTCCTATTTCTCATTCCAATAATCAAATCTCTCGGCGTGAATCCACCGCTAGTCCTGAAATGCGACAACAGGGCGGCCGTGCTGGTATCAGACGACAATGCGTCAAAAGGTCGCATGAAGAGTTTGGAACGTAATTTTTTCTTTGTCAATGATGCCGTCCGTGAACACAATATCAAGCTTGAATGGGTCTCCACTGCTTCCAATATCGCCGATTTTTTCACTAAATCTCTCCGGGCTAATCTCCACTTGATTTCTTTAAATAAAATATTCCCAAAATAAAAAAAATAAAAATAAAAATAAAAAATAAAAAAAAATAAAAAAACCAACTCTCACATGACTGATTCTATTATGTTGGTATTTTCTTATTAATTATCTTCAAATTTTTTTTCAAATTTTTATCTCCTGCCTTATTATTCTTGGTTTGTTTCATTTTTTTATTTTTTCTTATTGGCCATGTTTAATTTTTTTCTTCTCACTTTCACATTTTTCATATTTTCTTGATTCTTTTTTAAGGGTTGGAAAAACGACTCCCAAAAATT